GATTGTCCGGGATTTTTCCGGTCCAGCAACTCAATGCTATTGTCACCCCAATTTATAATGCTATGCTAACATTACGGTGTGTTTCATTAATATCTGGTGAACTGGGCTTCACGGCTTTATCGCACACACAGAGCGAAGTCGAACATCCGCCTCTGTAAGAGCAACTTTGCATCTTCCTGGAATTTCCCAGGATGAGGAGCATTGACGATTACCCCCTGCAAACTAGCGTGCATGCCCATATAACTAGTTTGCTGGTAAAGGTATTCTTTATAAAGGCTTGTCTTAGTTCCCTGTTAGTCTGGGGGAATGAAGGGTTTAGCAGGGACTCTATCAACTACCATGGGTTCCCCTACCACGCCCCTTCCCCATACTCCCATACTACCCCTCCTGGGTTCCCCCTTAACTAACCTTCGGAAAGCCAAATTATCCGTCAATCCCCTCCATAAAGGGGGGGAACCTAGACGGGGTAGTATAGAGGGGGTAGTGGGGAACCTAGGGGAACCCATGAATCTACGACTATACGCCCTTTAGTTTCGATGTTTCCCTCTGACACTGGTCCAACTTCAGGGACCCAAATAGGCTTAGGGTTTAGGGTTTACGTAGAGATTCGGGTTTTAGTCACCAAGTCCAGATTCAAAGAGGGATTCGGGTTTAGGATTTAGGCCCCCTGTTGCTGAGGCTCTAATTGGATATTCCGACTTTCGGCGGACTTTTGATCCCCAGGAACAAAGATTTCATTCCTAGTACAGGGCATTCCTAGAAACCCCAGACAGCTGGCAGCAGACCGCTGATCACGGCTTAATCTTGTCTTCTTTTCGTGTCTGAGGATTCCCATGAAACTTTCATGAACAACTTTATTTGCAGCCCCTCAGCGTTTTGTGCTTGCATATGGGATGGGTGGCAGTGAAAAAGGTCTAGCGGTTTAAAATGTCCAGGGGCCGAAGGATGAAAGTTGTACGGGCCAGGCTATGATTATGGTTTGGATTGTACGGGTATAAAGCAAGGGAGGTCGAGTTGAGGGATGTAAGCCAAAATCTATGCTCTAAGTGCCAACAACGAGTCGACCCTTTCGCGACACCCCGCCTCAATAGGTCGCCGGCATACTTAAAAAACTGAAATGGCTTGCGCAGCTTGAACTAGACCCGACCATATCATCATTACTACTATTGTATTTTGCAGAGCAAGGGTATTTTTTGTTTATGCGATCTGACGAAATTGCCTCCCATGCAATCCTCAAGGAGAACCCAATTCTTTTCACCCTACCCTTCTTAGGGGATACCTGTCTGAATCCTACATCCTAAACCCATGCACAAAAGAAAACGCTTTTGTGGCAGCTCACAGGTTCAAGTTTGTGCGGAAGACGCCCCCAGGGTTTAGGGTTCAGGGTTTTCAAGCAGCAAGATGGATGAGACATTCAAGCTTCAAAGCCCAGTGGAGGCTTTGCCGAAATCAGGTATAGTCCAAGCGTGGAGCTGACGTGTTTGCCACGGTTCTCAGCCAAAACAGCTAAACGTGACGTGACTCGTGAAATGGCTGTTTGTCTCGCCAAGGGCGCTGCATTGAGCCAATTCTCTCTGCCTATGCCCCTACAGACCAAGTGAGAGGTATAGAGCAGTAGACCACCTAACCTGGGTTGCAGACAGACTGCAGGCAAGCTACTTCTACATTTTCGCGCAATGGATATCTCCCTTGAACCTTGACTGCCGTGCGGTCTGTGCAAGCGATCTCAGCCAGGTCTTCTGCATAATGCAGCTTGTGCCGCAGACGAAGGGGGTTTAAAGTTCTGGGCTAGAATGTCACTGAATAAATGGACCCTGGATGTCCTTCCTTTCCGGTCTTGTTTGCTAGATTTTTAGGGTGTTCGAACAGGCAGGGCAATCAGGCTGCAGGTAGGGTAGGGCTGAGGGCTCTTCTCCGGATGGGTGGGAGCAAACAAGCAGGGCATGAAAATCTTTTTCCAAAAGACCTGACATAGGACATCATTCTATAGGGATTATATAAGGGTTATATAGGGGATCTATTTGGGTTATATAGAGATAATGGAGAACAAAATGGAAACTACTATATCATAGGTCAACACGAGCAAGGGGCTTTTTTGAGATGAGCTCACTCTCAAGATAGCGGCATATAGTCCCCCTTAAGTAGATAGAATCTGGGATATGTGGAGATCTCATTATAATATATCCAAAGCCATATTCTATCTACTGAAGGGGGATTATAGAGGGACTATAATTTGTTGGGGTTATGGTGGTTGAGGAACCACTTACACCTGCAAGGCGAAACGGTCAAACTGTCATTGACCGTCGCGGAACCTTTCTCCTGCCTGGCTAATGGCTTCGAAGCAAAGCCTGTTGAACCTGCGTGACTTCGATGACTAATCCCCCCTTTCTGCCATATGGCACGGAAAACCCTAAACGCTGTTCAGCCCAAGCCCTACAGATCCCTACAACTCCTCAAGGAACACCTGTGGCATCAATCCTAAAACCCTATAGCTTGTGATGTGGGATGGCATGGTTGGTTATTCGTGGGAGGTGCTAGGGTTTAGGGTGCATTTGTGTTTACAGGCTTTTTTTGGAGCGTGAAAGTTGATAGATTCTCACTCTTGTAAAGGTTTCTGTGTGTGTTTACCTGTTGGCGCTGCAGCTAGTTTCGTTGACCAGCAGCCTCCATAAAAGGGTGCACTAGACCCTCACGAAACCCAGATCAGGGCGCAAAAGCATTTTTTTTTCCACGGGCTTATGCGTGTTGCCATGATGAGATTCATCCTGCTTGGCGCCAAACTCACAACAGGAGATCTTAGATTCAGAAGCCCTCAGCATGCACAACCCCAAAAGACAGGAAAAACAGGGAAAGAGAGAGACAGAGAGAGAGAGAGAGAGAGATAGAGCAACAAGTTCGAAGGATCCATGAACCCGAATGAAAACACTCAATCCGAACCATAGGAATTTAAATGACCCTGGATCCCCCATTCTTGAAGCTTTAAACCTCTAAACCCGAAACCCTCCACCCAAAACCTTAAACCCTGGACTCTATACCATCAGGCTTGACGACGAGGGATCGCCGCAGGATCCGCCACCGAAACGGAGGGCATCACTGGCAGAAGGCAGCGTTGAAGGCCTGGGTGTGACCCGGTTACCCCCATGGCTTAGGGTTTATAGGGTTGATAGCGCTAGGGGGACTCGGTATGTCCCTGACCCTCCATGTTGGGTTCGGCTTTTGAGGGTTTACCTTTCGTTGGTATTTTTTGAGTAGGTTTGCTGTGGTCCTGAAAACCGAGACCTGGGCACCAATCCGACAAATCCACAATCAAGAGCTGGAAAATGCAGGAAGTTCGTGCTAACTGCGCAGGATCCAAAGTAATTGCCAGTAGGCAGGGGGGCAGTTGACAGAAAGCCTCGATGTGTTTGGGTTGTTTTCCAGCTATTAAGGTGCTACTTCTCAGGCTACGTGGAACTCGGGCTGCGCGGGATGGCTTATTCTATGTGTACTCATGCTCCAAGGGGTTTGGAAGATACCGTAGTAGTTGCAAAGTTTGAACTATTCCACCCCCACCCCTACACCCTAAACCCTAGACCTTCAACCCCAAACCCTCATGATACAATGCGCCCACCGGAAGATACCTATAAGAAGGGTTATACTTTTACCCACTCCCCCCTGCTTGAGAATCCCACTCCTATACCCTATCTCCTAAACCCTCAACCCTATGTCCTCAACCCTTAAACCCTCCGAAACCCTCAACCCTAAACCCCTAACCCCTAAAACCCTAAACCCTAAGCCCTAGCTGGCCAGGGAATGATGTGCACGAGTTCGAAGTATCCCCGGCAATGTCAAGCGCAGAGGCCAGCGAGCCAAACGGGACGATGTCTTCCGCCACTTGTTGAGGTTTAGCGTTTAGGCTATCTAAGGTGTATAACGGGATCTACAGGGGTGCTTATAGGGATATGTAGGGGTGTGTAGGGGTGATTAGGGTTTTGGGTTGCCGAATATTTGGAACTTAAGCTTGGGGGCATCTAAATATGGAAACCCTAAACCTTTACGAAGTAACGAGTCACTTGCATCCACAGGGTTTAGAGTTCAGGGTTTCGGGGCGTAAAGAGTTGCTTTATTTGATACAATGGCCTCGTGATTCTCTCATGTTCCCAGCGAGTCCAAGAACCCTTGCTCAAAGAGTATACCCAAAAGATATGAAGGATGATGGTACTATCATGGAAAGTAGATCCTACACCCTAAACCCTAAATTGCAAACCTGAATTAGGGTGTATTATACTCTGTTGTCTCAATCTATGGAAACGCTGGGCGGCAAAAGCGCACGGGCAAGACAGCTTCGATCTAATCGCTTAAACGTCAGTTAGGGTGCAGGGTTCCGGGCTTAGTAATTCCAATTACAAACACTGGGCAACTCGCGGCGAGCTCAAACGAGCTCACCCTTCATTGTAGTTGTCAGGTCAATCCACCCTACAGTACTAGCCCCTAAGCATTGCATTAACAGGGCCTTCATATGCCTACAAGAGTCCATTGTGGTACACATTACTACTGGGCGGGTGTAGTTCGATATTGGGAGATGACCTTAGAGGCCCCTATCGGGAACTGGGGTTGCAAGAATGTTTGTCCCACTTTGGCTTCGCTCTGACCCTATGCGAGAGTACAGGGTACCGACTGTCAATCCAATGACCTTCGCTGTGTAGTAAGTATCTCAGTCAGGTAACTACAGCTGAGTCTAGTACAGGAAGCCCTTGAAAAGTCCTGCAAATTAATTGGTAGATTTGCAGCTAGTTAGATGGCAAGAAACATCTGCGGACCCTCTACGTTTTGAAATGCCCTATAAAGCTATCATAAAGAAAGACCCCATAATTCAGCAAGATCCGTTTGTTGCCTGCTGCAAGCAGACTGCTGATATGCATCACGTTGGCACAGGAATGCCCCATGAGTCGGCACATCGCGTTGGACTTTAGGATGCTCATCTTTACACGCTTCGGCGGCCACTCAAAGAGTTTCAGGCCATTGCTATGAAAATTCCTCTTCAAGGCGTTTTGGCTCCTCAGAGTCCCCTCTTAATCTAACCCCCCCAGAGCCCTTAGAATCTTAGAAACACTGGAGCCCTTGCTAAGGACACCTGTTTCTTGTTTTCTGGGACGTCCGTTGATCTATAGTTAGTGGAGGCCTTTCCTAACAAGAGTGCAACAGCATGCTCTCTACTTCTTCTACAGATACCTGACCTAAAGGGTCCATGTAGCTTTGTCTTATGTGAAAACCCCTTTGAACCCTTGGTATGCCCTAAACCCGAAACCCTTGCATGGACCCAGTGGGGGGAAATCACGGATTCGGGCTAAAGGGCTCCACAAAAAGACCATTCTGCTAGGACTCTGGGACCTCTGCTAGGACTCCTGGGACATCTCTAAAGTCTGAGGCCTAGCCCGATAGAATCTAGGAGTCGTTTAAAGTTCAGGGCCCTAGAACCTCAAACCGCGCACGGAAACCCCGAATTCTCACCCCCCCAAACCCTGCGCCCTAATTCCGCCTAATCCCCATAGACCTCTCATCCAATGAAGTCAAGGAGTTGGGCCGCCTCTCGTCGGCAGTGAACTGCTTTTGTGCTTATGTAGAGCTCAAGTCTTGTCAGACTGTTTGCGTACGCTATGGAGGGCTCTACCTTGTGAGGATATAGACGTGGATCCTCTTGTGAGAGGCACTGTTACTGTAGTGCCACGGCTCTGCAGGACAGGGTTGCTGTTGCGCTTAGGGCCTGCTCCCGCAACCGGAAAGCATTAGTTCCTGTTGCAAGTAGGCCCCTGACTTGGGGCAGTAGGGCTCTTAAGCTGTTTTGGGGACTTCCGGGCCACCAGCACTATTGCCAATCCTGCTTCTAGATGAAGAGCACTGGGGCACCGTTGCAGCTTGTTTCAAGAGGTTTTTAGGCCACTGGTCATCAAGAAGGATCCTTGCATGATGCACATCCCCAGGATCCCTTCTGCTCACTGTTGAGGCCTCTGTGGCGCATTGATAGACCCAGTGCCTCCAGGTCCATACTGCAACACTCCTACACCCCAAAACCCATAAGCAAGGATTGAATGGCCAACCTAAAAGGGCCTACACCCTGACTAAACCCGTTATCTAGGTCTAGATCATACAGAATGTGCACTTTGTGCGTTTAACACCAACAAAGTAGAACATCTGAATAGAATAGGTCCCACAGCACCCTACACCCTCGACCTTACGCAGATACACTCCCCTAATTGAAAATATCAGGCTACATAGGGCCAGGCGGGCTACTTGAGGGCCACCACGACCTAGTAAGTACACTTCTGACCCCAAAAAACCCACACACTACTACCAATTATCCTCATGATTAACCTAGTTACTACGTCCCCCCGACCCTCCAAGACCCAAACTCAAAACCGAAAACTCTTAACCCAAACCCACCTGACCCTCCAAGTAAGCTCTCATCTGAGGCACAACCACCCGACCTCCCTTGATCGCGAGTAATTTCATTCGAGGGCAGCGGCGCTCGCTCCTGGGATTTGACAAAGTCCTACATAAGGATGGGGGTTTAGGCTTTGGCGTTTAGGAGTTTAGGAGGGTCTAGGGTTCAGGAAGTGCAGCGTTGAAGCTATGGGTGGGCTTCGTGAATTGGAAGCACAAACTATGAAATTTGTGGGGGGAGGGAGGGGGGGGGGTGAAGGTCGAAATGGCTCCGAAACAGGTGCCATCTCCAGGATGGAACGGAGACCTTGTTCTCAGACACTCAGTAGCCGTCTCGAATCGCGTTACAGGTTGTCCTTGTGCCTTATTCTTGGTGGCATGGGCAGTAGTATATTGGGGTTATATAGGGATAATGGAAAATAAAATGGAAGCTGCTATAGTATATTGGGGCTATATAGGGATAATGGAAAATAAAATGGACACTACTATAGTATATTCAGAATCACCATGTTTTTGGGCATGGCTTAAAGCTGACAGAGTTTCGAGAGATTGAAATTTGAGTGGGGCTGTCGTTTTTAAAGGTCCCCTACAGAGAACATGTAGACACTGCGTCCTACAAGAGTACAGGGCATAAAGTCAGCTAATGCCGGGAGTATTATGGGTTCCCCATATGCTACCAGGTACCCCCTTGATGAGCCCTAATCAGGTAACCTTCATGAAGGGGGAACCCCCTGCTTGGTAGTATAGATGTGGGTTTCAGGGGTTCTTTCCTGAATTCCTCACAGATTTCAGGGTTGTATCCCTGCGGTTGTACTCCTGGGTTTGGGGATTCCTTACCAGTAACCCGTAGGGATTACGTAGGCGTATGTAAGCGCTACATATGGGCCATTTTGAAGGTACCCTAAACCCTAAACCCTAAAGTGCAACCTCGGAACACACAAACTCCTGGCTTTGACTATCAAATCTGGGCACGACTGATACGTCGGAGCGGGGAAGTGGGAAGCCAATCAGGATTTGGGCTTACTAGCAACATGGTGCAACTTACTGGGTTCCTGTTAAGGAACTTGCATCAACTTACCATAATGGGTATATATAGCAACCAATACGGTGTTGATTAACAGCAACCCAGCTTAAGCCTCAACAATCTCTCATTGACCGGAAGCCCCAAATTTCCTTACCTTAAGCAATCGAACCGACCGCAGCTAGGCGAGGCTAGGCATGGGAGGTAAAGTGTGGGTTGCTGTGTTGAGCCTCCATTTGAAACTCCTTAAAGGGGAATATATACGGTTCATATAGGGGATTACTATAGGGGGTATTAGGGGGGATACCAGGAGTTTAGACAGTAGCTCATTTGAGGTTGGTTTTGTCGGTGTTTAGGGTTTTGGGTTTAGAGAGTTTCAATCTGGGTAGGCCCCTGGGATATTCAATGTTTTTCCCTGATTGCTTTCATAGGTGACGCTATATATTAATATTTTTCAAAGGGTTTTAGGGGCCAAGCCAGCAATGTGTTAGAAACACCATTGGAGCTCCTAATTCCTTGGGCAGAAGCCCTGGCCTTTTCTTCCTCATTTTTGAACCATGCCGAGTCGTTAGACACAACTCACACCCCAGAATGCAGCACGTCGGTCCTGCCTTTGGAAACAGAGCATCCTAGGCCAAATCCTAGCCCTGCACTGTACAAGTCCTCAAGCGGCCAAACTCTAAACCACAAAGCCCCATGCCCCGAACCCTGTACCTGAGGCTGCATGTGTTACACTTACTAGCTACTGGGAATTGCAACTAAGCTGTAGGTAAATGGGGCTCACAGGATACATGTTTAAACCCAGAACCCCATGTATACCGAAACAACCCTATCTGAAACCTTAAGCTCTTAACAAACGCCATGAAATCAAAGCCTGCATAGACCCTAAACTTAAACACTCAATAATTCCTGTGAACTCTCGGCCCTCCATGAACCCTCGAAATCCCAAATCTCTTTATAAACCTATTAAGAATGATAAGCTCTAAACGCTTTGCCTTAAGCCCTAAACCTATAGTTAAACCCTCAACTATTTTTCAACCCAAAGCCTTCGGCCCTCAACTCCTGTAAACCTAGAACCTTTTAAGCCCTGCGCTTTCAATCCCACCATAAGCCTCATAAACCTTAAAACGTCAATACCTGTTCAGTTCGGTCTCCGGCCAGCTCAGCTGGCCCCGTTCTCAGCCAGGGGTCAGGGCCTAGGGTTTACGTCGACCCCAACCCGAAAGGCATGTGAAACAACAGCCGTTCGGGAAGGACTTTAGCCGCAGCTATTGCGCTGCCAAACCCTGGGGTCATTGCAAGCACCGTTCGAACCACAAGGCGACATGGTTTCTTTCTGCGTAGGTAGTCAGAAAGACTATGCCAGGGAAGCCGCCAGCAACTACAAGCCTTGTTCACACACCGTGAATATGACACCGCGCAACACAACCTTGGGTCAGCACGGATAGCGGAGCAACTTGTTGAGATTTTGAGCTTTCTGCTTACAACACCTCATATCGGACGTGGCTGCTGCAGCTTATCCTCCCCTACTATATGGTAGTTTCGCTAAATAAGGGGAACCCAATATAGATCCCGATATACTATAATCCATATCATGGGGACCCGCAAAAAGTTACCCCTAAGTTTGGGGGGAAACCCCATATAATCCAGCCAATCCTTCTGTCTGATGTGTTGCCTGGCAACTTCCTTATCCGTGCGTGGGAGTGTAGCGACGAATGCTGAGTTGTGGTGCACCTTTCTGGCATGAAGTTTATTAAGTGTATGGCAGATCTCAGATGCAAAAGAAGGGCTGATGTGATTTTTTGGCCTGGCGTGAGCTCCATTGCTGGGGGCCTTGGCTACGGGATGCACTTGCCACCCTTAGCTCAAGGCATACACCTAGCCCCCGGTGCCAAAGGGTTCAGGGCTTGAAATCAGGGAGTTTCTCAAAGAAGCACCCCATATGTCCCAAAGGCCGCGAAGACGGGAAAATGAACGTTAGGATTCAAGGCTTCAGCATCCAGGTTATGGCTGGGTTGGGCAGTAAGGGCAGCTCCTGCCCGTTCTCTACCTCTTCTGAACCCTAGGCATGACTTTAAAGACCAAGGACCAAAGCCCAAGAATCAAAATCGAAATCAACCAGCTTACCACTTGGCCCCCAACAAGGCCAATGCAGTCTCGCATCGAGCCGCACATTCTCTTGGCGTAAAATGACGGTCACCGTAAACTAACACCATGTGCAGCATTCCTTTGGCACTTCATGTTTGGGCATGTCTCAAAATTAGCGGACCCTATAAACCCCCGAACGGGAGCTTCCGGGCCATGGGGACAGGGACCTCTAGGTTCAAGAGCCTGGAAGAATTACGGCGCTATCAACCACCGACAGAAACCCCTAGTCTTGTCCCTAAAGGCATCCATAGAATACCTATAACCCAAGGCCTGACATAATTGACTGATATGAGCCTCGGCGCTCTGACCTGCGCTGAACCAACAGAGACGTCGCAACTTTCAAAAGCCTTGAAACTCTAATTTTAAGGTTTAGGGTTCCTACAAGCCCCGGCACGTGAGAAGCCCTCTATCCAAAATGGGCTCCAGCATTTGGCCTCGTAAATCCTACGCTCTAAACGCCCAATTTGCCCAATCCTACCTTCACCCAAAGTTGCTGTTAAGGAACTTAAATTAAGTTACCATAATGGGTATATATAGTAAATAATAGGGTTCCCCCAATATAGTAGCTTAATTTAAGTTCCTTAAATCCCTATATTCCCCCAGTTTCCATTTCATTTTCCATTTTCTTTTCCATTTGATTCTCCAGTATAGGGGGATACTATACCCTAAACCCTAAACCCATTATAGTAGCTTAATTTAAGTTCCTTAACAGCAACCCAGTCACCCAAAGACTGCAAGGTCGGTCCTGGTCGTCTTGCGATTTCTGAAGCGACCAGCTTTTGTGAACTTCATGGGTCTGTTGACTCTGCTGCTGGTCCGAGCTTTGAGTAACCCCAAGTATTCATAGATTTATGGGGTTATGCCTGCTAACTTGGGGAGAGATGCGACTCAACTGCAGATAGTTGAGCTTACAGGTGCGGCTGGCGGCCTACTGGGTCATTGCTGAACATATTGCTTATCCAGTGCTATAGCAACCCAAAACCCAGGAAGGAGCATGAAGTTGTAACTTGTAGTTTCTATACGACCGCCCAACACATCACCAGCGTAGTGTGCGGCGTGTAGTTGTCCAAGCCTGGTCACTTCCTCACTTCTCTGACAGGCACCTAAACTCCTATATGCGTCAGCGGCCCTATGGCTTTTTCAGGGTGTAGGTTAGGGTTTGGGGTTTAGTTGTATAATTTCGTACTTAGAGTTACATAGGGGAATAGAAGAGAACATGCAGACCACCACTGTTTCTTCGACATATCGGCACACCGACGAACAAGCTGGATTGGAGTGTCAGCTGCAACCTTTTCTAACTCGTGCTGCGCTCCCTTGGCACCCCCCCCCCTTAGGCGCTACACTTGTGCCTGGGAATATGCCAACATAACCTCCAACTAGGGTTCTGAAACCGTCCCGCACAGCCAGCAGCATCATTCCGCCCGAGCACCCAGAGCCAGCATCATATTGATACTGCGCTCCTCCAGGAACTTTTCTTGCTAGAGGATTTTCTATTCCCTTCGGCTGGTAGGGGTTTAAACATGCGGAACCAACAATTACTTCTTCACATGTCTTTGCGCACAGAAACGCCCAAACTATCATGGGGGCCTACAAAGACTACTGTCCATTTAATGTTGTGCTTCGAGCCCCAACGGAAAATTAAAGATGGCAGGGTGGCAGGGATTTTTGAGGAAACGAAAAATACTGACAGCCAATTTGAAAGTAGTCTTGGGTGGGAGGCCTCCCCAAACCATTTGCCGGATTCAATTGCGGACGCTGCGGTATGGATATCTGCTTGTTGGAGTTGAGAGGGATGGAACAGACACCGCTACACTACGTCTAGAAACCCAACCCTACAATTAGGTCCTTGTTGGAGTCATGTTGGGGTTACCAAAGCTCTCTTACTATCAGCCATCGTTCAGCACTGCAGGTGTCCAAACAGTGAGACCGGTTAAGGCTCAGGATTTATGACCCGAAACCGCCCCCCCCGCCCCCCTATTGTACCTTGTTTTATCCACTCCCCCAAATATAGGGTTAGTAGGCAGTAAGGGAATATCTTGTATGGGGATTGCATACCCTTGTTCCCTACTTGCTGCCTGTAAGATAATATACCACAATGGAACCACTTGATATTTTTGGGGTAGGTTTGTTTTTCACACTAAAGGGGATGTGATTATTATGGGTAGGGAGGTGTTGAATATTAGGCCGCAGGGAGTAACCCTGGTACGTAGGTTTAGACCCTCCTCCTGCTCAAGCTACTCCTTCGTGAAATTGAATTGAAGTTGCAAAGATACCCCGAACCTGCATTTGGGCAACCCTTGCCTGAACTTGAACCCTAGACCCCTAAACCCCGAAGCCCTAAACCCCTAAATCCCTAAACCCGGTCAGCCCCAAACCCTGCACCCTAAGGTTTGATGCATACTTGACGTGCACAGACATAGATCGCAGAGCAGCAGGCAGAGTCCTCCGCTTCAGGGTTCTGGGGGCGAGGTTTAGGGTTTAGGGGTACTTATAGTTGACGGGTTTAGGGATTGAGAATAATAGGATAATCTTCAGGGTGCTGGAATGGGATAGTCAACGCACTAGCCACTATCTGGTTTGTTAGAAGAGGCGCCAAGGAGTAGTCGTACTACCCTATAGAGCCGCAAAAGTCTTGTAGGATTTATTCCAGAAAGCCGCTCATAATAGCTGGGTGGAGCAATTTGTCGCGACGCTGCCGGCTTCTAGTGAGATTGAGGTGTTTCGTCTATGGGCATGTACTGGGCCAAAGGCTTGTGTTGCTACGAGGTTTCGGAAGGTCAGAAGTAAGCCCCTCGCCCTAACGTCTAGATGAATTATTTAACATAAGGCTTATGGATTTTATATCAGGGGGAGGGGATTATGAGACTTTGTGGGCTGGCTCTGATACATCAGTCTGTCCGAAGAGTGGCTGCTAGGGTTTAGGGTTCAGGGTGTGATGGGGGTTTAGGGTTTTTAGGGGTTTAGGGCTTGGGAGGTACCTGCACTGGGCAGAAGCCAGCATCATGGATATGGTCACGTGGGGAAAGCGTTCCACATCCCAACTCTACCTTTAACTTGCTCACGTCTGGTATGCTGGGATGCTCCAGACTCCAATCCCAGTCTGTCAGCCTCGGTTGTGGCCTTGTTGCGTCGTTTGGGATCCACCATCTCGCTTCTAGTTTCAAGTACTTCCGAGCAGGAAAGAGGAATCTCGTCAATTTTAGGTGTGGTGCACGTTTGAGGTACGCAGGAACCCTCACGACCCTGCAATGCCCTCCAGCGCATCAGGGCCCTTTCCCACCAATGAACCCCCATGCCCAACACAGCAATGTTAGTTTCCCCAAGCAGGGGACCCCAACATAGACGCCTATGTACTATGAACTATAACCTTGATTATGGGGACCCTTAAAACAAACTGACACCTAATTGTTGTCGAAGCCAGAAATTGGACCCCCAGATGAATTCCAGCTAGCCCCTTTTTAGCCTTAAGCGTGCACTGCCCTCGCAGGGATGGACCGCGTTCCCTGGATGGCAGTTGCCATGGATTTCTGTCTGATCATGCACCTTGGCCATCAACTGTAGCCCCCTTAATAGATAGAATATGGTTTCGGGTATATTATAATTCGATATCTTTATACCCCATATTCTATCTACTTAAGGGGGACTAGAAGCAGTGAAACAGCCACCTTCATGCCGTCGGGTCCTATGCTTGCCTTCAACGGTTGCGTCCCCCAGGGTCGCGACTGCATAGGGATTCAAGATGCATCGCAATTCCAGTGACTTGGAAATTTGAGGCTTGCTGCCCAGTCAAGTCCATTGTCATCCAAGGTACTTTTGTGAGTACGTGCTCTGGATTTGGGTCAAGCGCTTCGGCGTTTGCATCGACAACTTCCTCCTGACGCACGGCCTAAACCCTAAACCTGAAACTTGAACTGTGGCTCAATAGTCCCCCTTAAGTAGACAGAATGTGGATTTTCCCAAAGCTTCTATGTACTTAGGGGGACTACCTTGCGAAATACCCCAGAACCTCCACCCCGCGCCCCGCAAACCCTGAAATGCTTGCATTCTCCCTCCACCTTGAGACCTGGTACTCTGGGCGCAAAACCCACTGCAAATCCGGTAGAAGCACCTTGCATGAAGGGTTCCGATAAATGGGGAGCTCCAGTAAACAAACCTACATGATCCATTGCTTATTCTGAAGGGGTCCTATTCTTTGAAAACTTCTACATGATTATTGCCTGGCAGTGCATTTTAATTATTCGTTGCTCCAGTATGAGGTTGCAGGGGGAAGGCCTGTGGGCACCACATGACAGTTAACTCACTTAACAGGATTTGGCCCAGAGACCTCGATTTGTGCAAGTTTATAAATTGTGTTTGTTACATATCCCCATTTCGCTGCTGGAGACAGTAGATCCGCAGTTGAATCTAAGTTCGCAGAGCCTCCACGCTTGTCTTCAACAAAAATCCTGCATATGGCGACTATCGTGAGTCGAGGGTCGAAAGCAACTGAATGTCTTGAGACTTTTCGTACAGAACGGAGATTTGTCGGACTCAATTTCTGGCCGAGCCCCTTTGCTTGAGCCTACGAGCCTGCTTTAAGAAACGTTTTGTCGTGAGTTTCTGGCTCATAGGTGATTTAGACTTATGACTTATGTGGGGGAAGGAACACAGCTGGAATGTGCAGGTAACTGGAATCGGTGCCTTCTATTGCACGGTGTTGCTAAGGATCGATCTCTTCATTCTGGTGACGGGTATTGAGACTTGGCTTCACCAGTGTGCTTACGCCCCGACTTTCCATCGGATTTGTCCTCGCAGCTGTAGTCTTGCTCCCCAATCCTAATATCAAATCCGAAGCCGCTTTGAGGCAGATTTATTCTTGGACCGCATCCTCTATCAGGATCAGGCTGGAGAGGGAGAAGAGAGGCTGCCTCAGTTGCTCTAAAGGCATTCTGAGTTAAGCTGATGGATATAGTAGAAGAGACGGGGTTCTTTATTCTATTAAGTCGTTCAAGTCCTGTAGCAGCAACGTAACATGAACAACTCACACCTTTTTGCAACAGACAGCAGCCTTGAGCCACCTCTTGGGCTTCCATGCTATTTTGGGGAGGGTAGGTATGTATGTATGTACGCATGTACGCATGTACGCAGGTATGTAATGGTATGTATGTATGTATGTATGTATGTATGTATGTATCTTCCAGCGATACATGTTGGGAATGATGGCCTACCTGGAGCAATAGAAAAGTTGAAGCTTCTTCCAGCACTGCACACGCGCCATTGCACTGCTAAAGCAGCGCCTGCGCCCCAGAATATTGAGCCCATAACTCCCTTCCAGGGACCCCCCCCAACCCTCAACCCTTAACCCCCCTAAACCCTGAACCCCCCTAAACCCTAAACGACCCTAAACCCTAAACCCCCCTAAACCCTAAACCCTATGTAACCCTTACCTACTGCACAATGTGGGGCACCGGGGCACCTAGGCCAGGATCTGCCACAAGGCCTCCTCGAGGTCAAGATGTTGAATCTCATGTGAGCTATAGTCTAAACTCCTTAAAGGGTGCTTATATAGGGGATTCTATAGGGTACTACCAAAGGGCTTATTAAGGGGGGATACCAGGAGTTTAGATTAGCTCATGTGGGCTTCCAATTTTTGAGGTATATAGAATGGGCCCCTGCTATTGTTGACCCTTGCATATTTGAGAAGAAAAAATTGTAAGCCCGAAATCCAACATTTGAACTTCATAATTCCCGCATGACTACCATAGCATCCTAATTTCGAGGTCCCATGTTCAACGTTTTCCCTTTGATTCCGCATTCCTGCGTTGAAGCTTCAGGCTTAAATCTAAACTCAGTCTATGTGTGGGGGATACCCCCTTAAACGAACTTACTTGAAGCGACCCAGGACCCAAAGCTAAGCCCCCTAGACGCCTCAACCCCGAACGTAGGTTGAGGGTTTTTGCGAATTTGGGTTCCCCACAAAAAGCCCCTAACATACAACCATCCTTCAGATGGAAATTACCAGCCAACTTTTCTGTAAAAAACTCCAAGCTCCAAAGCCTAATTCCCAACGCTAAACCCCCAACATCCCCCAACCCTAAACCCTAACCCCAAATCCTAACCCGCAACCCCAAACCCTGAACCCTCAGCCCTAAACCCTCAACCCGACACCCTGAACCCTCAACCCCAAATCCTAAACCCCTCACGACACCCCCCCCCCCCTGAACCCTCAACCCCAAACCCTGAACCCTCAATCCTAAACCCTGAACCCTAGACCCTGAACCCTGAAGCCTCAACCCCAAACCCTAAACCCCTCAACCCTAAACCCTGGACACTTGTTGCCGTGCCTGCACTGCTGTGCGATGCGCGTGTCTAAACCCTGAAACCCTCAACCCTAAGCCTAGCAGGCCATGAGGGAGAACTTCGGCTGGATCCGCTTCCTTCGGATTGTTCGCATCATGCGTGGCCCGGTGCAAGGTTGGCGGTTTCAGGATTCCCCGACGGGTCCATGTGAGTGTAGAATATAGCATAGGGGGTTAGGTATAAAGATTTAAGGTCGAGGGTTTAGAATTTAGAGTTTAGGACTTAGGATTTAGGGTTTCAGGGTGTAGGATTTCCCGAAGTCATGGGTACTGTACCGTTTTTGGGGTCCCTCTGATAAGGCTTATAGTACTTTGGGGTCTATGTTGGGTTCCCCCTGTTTTGGGAAACTGCCATGTGTATTTTGTGTTTCGAGGGCTGAGGGTTTAAGATTTTTGGGTTTTAGGGCTGCAAGGAGACTTTCATAGAACTCCTCTAGGACCCAAGAATTTAGACTTCAAAACCAAACCATTATATGGCTACATGGAGCCTTTGGGTTCGCAAGACAAGCCTAGGGTTTAGGACAATCCGCCGTACAGGAATAGCCCGTAAATATGGAGTTCATAGGCCTTTAATATATCTACAAGAGTCCTTGTGCTGCCCGTTGCTGAGTGGGTGACTGAACCGAGCTTAGGGTTCAGGATCCAGGGATCACGGCTTAGGATTTAGGCTTATGGTTTAGGGCGTGCAGGAGGGTTTTATCGACGAGGACATTTACTGGCTCGTGAGGATTGGCAGCGTTTAGGGCTTGGCAACATATTCTGTGTCACGTTTGATCACTTTTTGGGTGGTTGAAGTTTTAGGTTTGCAGCGTGGGCTGGCAAGTGGAGCCCTCATTAGGAATCATCTCGTCACCGCGTGATTGTCCTCAGAATCCCATCATACTTTGCATCAGGTCTCTGTACATTCTGTAGAACCGGTTTTGGGAAGAACTACCGGCAGGCATGTGGTTTGTAGCTAAAACCCTACACCTGCGGCAGCCATTTTTTCACTTCTGCGGATGCCGTGCTTCTGTGGAAGAAGCTCCTGCTTGAAGCACCGCAAGGACAATCTGGAGGAGCTTCGCCAGGAGGGGGTCGGATGCTTAAGCACCTGAGCCATTGTCTAAACTCGTAGTATCCCCCATGTAACCCCTATTTAAGATTTAAGGTGTTTAGTAGCCTATGGCTCAAACGGCCTAGGGGACGGCTGGGGAGTCATGTGCGATCGCAGAGGCTGTCAGGCCATATCTCCTGGACCTGACCCTCAGGCAAGAAAAATGCAGCAACGAAGCGCCCGCGTCCACGGTAAGGTTGCTGTTAGTGCCCTATAAGCCTAAACCAACACAGAATCCCATAAAGACCTCTTCGGAAAACACAACAATATACAAAGGATCCGTGTTGAGGTCCCATGCGAGTTTGAGGGTGGTTTTGGCCTCAATGTTCTCGGCATCAAGGGGTGCAAGGGTGTAAGATAACCACTTTCATGCTGCGAATTATGTAGGCCAGTGATCAAAGCGGATGTGTTGAGCAGCCAAGCTCACAAAGCATGAGCGGTATATGATTCCAGTTTCCATTTCATTTCCACGTTCTTTTCCAGCTGATTCTCCATTATTGGGTGTATCCCTATATCACCTCAATATAGCCCTAATAATGTAATCCACTACTCAGGGTATTCGTCGGTGATCCGCCAGTTTGGAGCAATTACAGTTTTCATGTGAGCTATAGCCTAAACTCATTAAGGGGTATATGGGGGATTACATGAGGCGCTATTAGGGTTATTAGTTATTAAGGGGGATACTAGGAGTTTGGACTATAGCTCATGTGGGTTTAGGGTTGAGGGATATTACCACAGCCCCAGACACATAGTTCAGGGTGGAATACGTAGTACATGAGCGCATATATGTTACAACCATATCCAGGCCCCACCCCAACCCCAACAAACCACACCCCACACCCGACCCCAGCACTATGCTCGGAATGCTGAGGCCCCCGCACTAAGATGAACGGCGGGATCTAAAGCATGATTTCCCAGGCTCTCTTGCTCAGTTAAGGCTCGAGACAATGCATTGTGGGGCACATGCGTTAGCAGAAATCCCTTCTGTATTGTCATGTGCCTATTCTACTATTGTGCTTCCCCATGTGGGATTACGATAGGATCCTAGCCTAAAGTTGGGCATAACCATGTGCCCCATTCAAGCCAGAAAGCCCGCAGCACGTGGAACATACGACCCCAAGGTGTGCTGAAGCTTTTCCGCAGAATATCCTATCTCAAAGAGCCTCCTGGATGTGCAGACGGTCTTGGGATAAGGAGTAAGAATACTACTACTGATAGTAACGATACCTGTAATAAAAATAATAAGACGAAGAATAATACCAATATCTCTAGTCATAAGCTGGAGATTCTCCTCAGGGTTTAGGGTTCAGGGCTTAGGATGAAGTAGTGGTAGCTGGGCCTTACTATCTCCACTCGTACCATGTGGGAGTTTCTGCAAGACAGGGCTCGTGTGGTCCCCGGAAAACACAAGGATTCCTTCCTTAAGGGTCCCCAAATAATAGGGTTTTAGGTCCCAAATACCATTAATAGTATAGTATTTGGGCTCTAAAGCCCTGTTATTTGGGTCCTTGGACCCTTAGGGTTTCTGTTCTTGGCTCTACGGCGTGGAAACTCGAAATCCGTATGCAGAGGATCCTTCTGTTTGTGTAGACCTAGGTACCACATGCCTTACAGCCTGAGCCTTACGTTGAGACATGTGAAAGGGAATAGCAGATTGATGTTAAAGGGTTTGCAGGTTGAGGGTGGCATCTTCTACAGCTGGTTGGCATGGGAAGGAGGACCCCTTCTTTTTCAAATGCAACTTTGGGCTTTTGGGTTTTAGGGGATAGAGATATAGCCAGGTTTGGGCCACACGGTTTAGGGTTTAGGGTGGTTTAGTGTTTAGGGTTTAGGCTGGGTTCAGCAATGGAGGTCCTTTCCTTACTATTTATTCAAGTTCATACCGTTGTTTCTCACAACAAAATAACCCGACATCGTCTCCCAGAGGGCCGGGCCATTGTTCATGTTGACTCCGCACCCCTACCTATATAGCCCCCCTTAAGTAGATAGAATATGGCTTTGGGTATATTACAATAAGATCCCCACTTAAGGGGGACTACGACCAACTTGTAGCCCCAATTACCGTCAGCTTACTTGTGCGAATTAAGCTGATGGTAATTTGAGTTACCTAGTCTCCTTAATGATGTAGTAGGTACAAACTACTTTTTAATTTGTAGGTACAAACTATTGGGGCTACCTATTTCCCGTAATTCGCAGATACTGTACAAACCATAAAGCTGTAGGTCGTTGGTGTTTCAGGTAGGCCTGTCTTCAAGGAAAGCTGGAAAAGCCTGTGTAGCAGTTTGCAACTTGTATTCAATGACTTCAAGGACTGCTTCCCAGCTGTACCATTTTCTTAGTCCCCTCTGCAAATAGTTCCAGACCTTAATCACGAATCACATCTCAAATCATATCAGCGGTCCCTGAATAAGACGTAAGAAATCCATATGCTTTATGACGGCTCGCTAATCCACAAGTTTTGCCAAAGAGGTTTTGGCTCCCCGAACCTCCAACCTATGGGGTCCATATCAAAGAGGCGGGTTGCAAAAAATCCGCTTATCACCTGTAATCTAAAGCCCTAATCCTAGCATTTGTTTTGTTTGGGGTGGGAACCCCCCCCCCCTCCCCCCGCCAGAATAAGAAATTCCTGGAATTCAATTAGAAAAGAAT